TTTCATACAAAAAGCTAGTCTTTATCAGTTCTATTTTTTAAATTTAAATTTGTTATTTCCATAGTAATCTTGAAATAGCATTATTCTGTATTTAATGGGTTCTTTAAAAACCCCTAGAGAACACAGGGGTACTATTTCTCATCAATAAGGAAACCCCTGGGTAATGATTTGTCTCCTCATTACTTTTATCCAGCACACTAAGCTAATATATATTTTGCTAGAATAGAAATGCAAACCATGTTACTGGTCCCTGAGGGAATTTACTTCTTACTACCCTCTAAAGAATGCAGACAAGCAGAGAAAAAAATAATTCCACAAATTTTATATAACATCACTTTTACTTTTTCATTCATTACCTTACTGCTCTGTCAAATACCATTCAGAACAGAATTTAAATCGAATCCCAGGAGTTTCCATGCTTTTTATGATTTCAGATGTCTGTGAATTTTTCTGGACACAGATTTCCCTAATCCTCTACCATGAACATCAGCATTTAAAAGGAATCAGCTGTGCTTCAAAAGTACAGGCACAGATACCACCAACTGACTAATTACAGCAAGCCCCACATCTGGATAAACACTGAGCAAAATATGATTAAGCATGAGGTCAGCTGAACCTAGTAAATACATGACGGATATCGCTAACAGTGAACAGGGAAGCAGAACTGCCTTCCGCCCTAGTGTTGACAACTGATGGCATCGCCAATGTGTCTTAGGTTTAAAAGAAGGGGAAGGAGAGTGGGAAGGGAAGAACAGAACCACCCTAACCAGATAGTCTTTTTACAGGGAAAGGCTGTAAAAGTGAGCACCCACATACTGCGCGTCATAAAGACAGCACATTTTTTCCTTTAAAAAGACTACTCACAATGGGATAATTCATCTAATACTATGGACTCCTTAGAAAGAGGTAATTTAAGTTGTAGATAAGCATTTACCCTGAGTTGATGTATTAGTCATTCAAGTTAAGGTCCATGAGCTATTTATGATTTGAAATGTGTCAAAATATACTTTTATCACCACAAATCAATACTACTCACTTCCAGGGCCCTTGATTTCCTGTCTGGAAGTCTGTTCCGTGTGTGTGTGTGTGTGTGTGTGTGTGTGTGTGTGTGTATGCATGCGTGCGTACACAGTCATCTTCTGAAATTCTTTCTACATGCATTTCAACCTGTATTGATGATTAGATGGTAGAAAGGGGGTAAGAGGAGCAGAAATCAGCATAATTGCCCCCCAGTTCCGGGAGTAGACTGTGGGACATTTTCTTGGATTAATCTGCAAGGGTAAAGCTCTGCCTCTGTATTGATCTGCAATGCTTGTTATGTGGCCCTAATGCACTGTTTTCACTTTGGGAAAATGCTAAATGAGATTACCGTCTAACATTAGAAGACCATAAAACACAAGCCATGGCACTTTCCATTCAGGAAAAGGGTTTCAAAGACATTTCCAATATGCATTATGGTAAACCCTCCATATAGTCACGGAGTCAGCAATTGACTTTTATTGACTACTTTTACTCCCGTTGATGGAAAAAGCTACTATTAGGCAAAAAATAACAAACGGTAGAATTTTAAGATACCTAAGAAGGAAAACTAAATCTTAGCTGCAAAGCACATTTAAACAATTTAATTTCATTTAATTTCTTTGTATGTAAGGAAGATTCAACAAAGAAATGGTAAATGACAATGTTAAGAGAAAGACGAAGTATAGATTTGGAGAACTTGGAACAATAGCAAGGGAGTGTGAAGATATAATTGCTATCCAAAAACATGTTTAGCAAAAAAGAAATGGTAGAATGAAGTTGATCTTTGAAAATACATACCTATCAAAAATAATTAAGAAATAATATTCAGTTCTGTGATTACTTGAAATTACTGGGGAATTTTAATGGATCCCACCAAATAAATGTACATTTCTCTGTCTTTTCTTTCTTGTGCTCCCCTTGACTGTCCCCCCACCCCCCACAGTGGCACTTAAGGCCCAGGAGGTTGCTGACAGTGTGCAGACGCAGAACTGGAGTCCCAAAGATTTGACCCAAGAACAAAATCAAAAGAAGTACTACTCCTGGTAGGTATTCTGTAACCCGTAGCCAGTAAAACATTTTTTTGGCTAATGTTTATTGCTAATACCCACTTTAAAAAGACACCTAATATATCCAAGTATTTTTCTATGACACTGACAGGTCCATTGTAGGAACTCTGGAAAAAGACAGAAAAGAATAAAGATATACATTTAGGTTGTTTCTAATTTTTCAGAGCTTAAAATAACATGGTGATGGACATAAATTATTATTACCATTTGTGTTATATCCCTGGGAGACTTTTTTATAAGTTCAATTAATTGGTCAAAGAGAGATGAAAATAGTTTCAGTTAAAATGAAGCAGAGTTAGGCAGTATCCAGATCTTTCCCGTTAAGACCCTATAACACAATTATACTTGGTTATTTGTTTTAGAACTAGCTGTTGGTTTTACTGCTGCCTCTCCTACTTTCATGTCTTAGAAACGTCTTTGATGTGGGTCTGAGCTTTACATTTCAAGGAAACTACTTATCCATCTTTTTAGTTCTCCTAATATAAATAGCAAGGATAATAAGGTAACTTCAGACAAGTAAAACATATAGAGACAGCTCTCCTCATACTACTCCCCATTCAGAAGGCTAAAGAAGTCACATAACGACAATCAGTTAACAACCTCAATTCGTAAAGCCCTAGGGAACACAAAAATCACTGATTATGAGCACAGGTATGCAAAAAAAAAAAAAAAAAGAGGATCCTTTCCCTGTATTTGGACCAGTAAGTACCCTGAGTGAGTTCTACAGAAACTATAAGGAAATACCAGAGGTGGGGGGGAAGGAGGGAGGAAGGAAAAGGAGAGAGAAAATATGAGAATGGCTGGTGTTAAAAGGAGAATTCTTTTAACAGGTTTTGGTAATGCATCCTTCATGGGGTCAGGTGGTCCCATAATTTAGCACTGTAAAAGCAGGCACACAACACAGTCATGGAGTCAAATCTTTAAGTCTATTCCTATGGCACAATGTAAAAGCTCTTTATTGTGTACTAACTTTTCATTAGATGTTGAGCCCAGTGGTCAGGATTTCTGCTTTTCTTTTAAAATTCAAAACTAAAGCTAGTAAGCACATTTTCAATATTTAAAAATATGTAATAATTCACTTGTTTCTCTTGTCACTTATAATTTATCATATAATTCAATATAAAGGAAGAAAGTATTTATCTAAAATGTATGATCTTCTATTAAAATTTTTAATTTTACCTTAAAGCATAACATCCTAATATTCATTTTCAGAATAAAATGTAAACAGTCTTTTCCTAGACTGAGATCTGAAACAACTCAATTTCAGTCTTTTCTGACATTCTTAATAACTGCTAAC